ATGATTAGAGTGAGGATTTGAAAAGCTTAGAACAGAAGATATTTTATTATAATATAAATTCATTATAATAAATTGACCTTGAAAAGAAAGGACATAATTAAGGTGAAAAGGTTTGTGCCTAAAAATTTAACCTGCTATAAAAGTGAAGAGGATAGAAAACAGAGTGTTGTAAACTTCTGAAAATCCAATAAGGAGTCTCAAAGATTTCTCTTCTCCTTCCTCCATTAAAACTCCAAGTCCCGGAATCACATGGCTGACACTTAGTCTTCAGCAAAGGGAAAAGCATTCTAGCTGTCATGCCTGCAGGGAGAACCTTGAACATTCAAATCCTAAAAGCACAAACAGAATATAAAGCAAAACATAAACTTTTATTTTTTAATAAATCTCATTATTTTATTTGAATGCAAACTGTCTTGCGGTTTTTAACATAAGATATAGCATTAGTGTAAACTGAGCAGCTGCTTTTTAAGCAGACAGCAGCTAGAGATCCAAAAAAAGATTCCCAGCTGCTATCATAGTCCTCATCACCACATAATGACTGGAGAGCTGGAATTGTGGGTAGCTCATTTAAAGATGTCACGTATTCATATATTCTCTGTTTGGCAGATTAACCCCTTCCCCGTGATGCAGGAGCGTGCTCGATGCTCACTTACCAGCATCCAATCCCCCTGTGCACGGCTCTGTGCAAAGGAGCATGACACAATTGCTCCAATAACGGCACTCACAGCTGAGAAAGGCTCAGGCCACACACAAGGCCACAGCAAGCCCTCAGTCTGTCACAGACTATCCCCCATGGAGAGATCCAGACAACTTTCTGTATGAAGTTCCGGTTCCCCGATCAACTATCCACATCTAATCCTTTGGGGTATATTGTTAAAAAATAAATAAAGACTTTAGGGTTTGCTCCCAGCACTTTTCCTTAGCTTCCATGTGCAAGAACAAGAAAATAAAGATTCAAGCTGGAATTTTTCCAGGCATATGCAGAATAATTACTCCCCGAAAATTCTCTTTATCGTTATCCTTGTGGATTTGAATGCATCCTTGAGAAATCTTTCCCTCATTCCATATTCATTAGAAAAGAGGACACAACAGTTTCAATTAGCATACTCAAACCAAGTTTATGCCTTGTGGAGGCACCTACCCTACATCTAGTAATTTACCACTTTTCATTGATGCCACAACTGCCATCCATTTCTAACTTCCACTCTCCCAACAGAGTAGATCAGAAACAAGTGACAGATATGCCAGATCAGTCAGAAGGGTTGCTGTAACTGCCAACAAATCCTTTGGCTGATTCAACCATTTTATAATCATCTTACATTTCAGTGCACCGACTCTCAGCCAAAAAGCCTTCATAGCTGTGTCTCAGTCCCTGCCACAAAAGAGCAAAATCGGAAGACCTGGAACTATAATGGCATTATCAACAGTGATAGAGAAAGCATCCAAATTCTCACTTCTGTGCTAATAGCCCCACTCTGAGAAACAAACGGCAATTTTGGGGGATGCCAAATGAAGTAGCCCTCAAAATAGATGAAGTTTCTATTTATTCCACCGCCTGGGGAAAGTGTAAAGAACAGAAATCTACAATAAAATTTGCACATCCGTTCTTACAGTTTTTCAAAGCTCTCCAGATAATATCAAAAAACATTCATAGCCAATCCTGTAAGAATCTATACAGATTAAAAAAGCTGCATGAACTCTGAATATTCGTCCATTTGCAAGATAATTCTGATGCCGTTTTGTCACACTGTTTCCTTTTAGTAACATAAGATTTAAAAAAGAATTGACAAAATACTTTGTATTTAAGAGATTTCTTACAGAAAGACCTACTAATTCCTTTTCCTCAACATTAATGCCCTCCTGAGAAGCACTGATACTCCAAAGAAAGCTACAGTACTTCCTCAGTAGCTTTTATTAGGCAGCATGCTCAAGTTACAGGTTGTAACCTGCCCAACTCTGAACATATCCAGAATGTTTGCATTGATACATGAATAACTATAAAAACAAGACCTAGGAATATCAGTGAATTCTGCCTCACAAAAAATCACTTTTTAACAGGTATGTTTTGCGAAGTGCCCGACAAAACCTGAAACACAAACCATGCATCAATCTAAAAGACTGTACAACCTTGGTTTAATCCTCAGTGCAAAGCCTTACCTTGAGCCTGAAATTCCTTGCCACTCCCGCTGCAGCTGCAGTTCCACCATCGTTGCCTTCTGTACCCTGACGAAATGCAAGCCGCACACGGACACGTGCAGTTCATCTGCTGTTTTGTGACCACTGCCTAAAGGAATGTGACTTTAAATCTCAGGGTCTTGTGGCTGTCAGGGTAACTTATCCTGTTCACATGAGAGAAGGAGTGCTTTCCACTCACAGGAATCTTGCTTTATTTGAGGAAGAAATGAAATGTGTGAATAAAAAGAGTGCTCTATTTCTCCTTAGCTGGTAAATACAGGGTTTAACCAAATAAACACTTCTCTAGGGTAAGGACATCATCCTTTGTTGGGGGGGGTGATGTTTAAATTCACAGGATTTCTCTCCCCCTCTTTCTCACATATTTAAGATGAGAGAAGCTTCAGTGAGCACAGCTACCAGTATTCCAATTTATTCAGCAGCAACCCCTGTGGACTGCTAACAGCAGACTGTGATTCTGTTTGGATTACAAGGCACAGATAAGTAATTCCATCCTTAATCTATCACTGTCAAAGCTGGTAATGGAACAACTTTTACCTGTGAGAACTCAGGTGGAGGAAAAGACCGAGATTGAGTTAAAAAAAAAAAAAGTGTGGGGCAAAAGGACAGAAGAAATAGAGAGGATACAAGTCCATTAAGAGTTCTGTGCACACATGCATGCAGAGGTAAGTAGAAAATGAGGGAATGGGATAAAGGACCAGGGTGCTAATAGGAAAGCAGCATAGCCAGATTCCAAGCAGAATTTTTCAACAGCAATAAAAATCTCACTTCCAACATAATCTATGCCTTCTATTACACTGATCCCAGTGTAAAATGTTAGAGATGTTTTACCTCAGCAAATGCTGATGGATACTACTACATTGCAGCCACGATCAATAATTCTGAAGTAAATCATAATGGAGCCTCAAAGCCTTCGCATACAGACCTGTCAGTAAACTGGGACAATATTACAAATAGACAACAAAGGATAATGCAAAGATTGCAAAAATGGAACAACACAGACACAAGTGGATTTCTTGGAAGATGGAGTGGAAGGCAGAAAAGATGAAAGGGGAGGGAAGCTATTTAGACATAAGTGATGGAGAACATCAATAACCCACACCTGTCTTATGTGATGGAGGATTCAGAGATGGAAAACAGTGAAAGCAATAGGGAGACCTGGGGTTGATTTTTCTTTTTCTTTTTAAAAGAACCCTCAGTAGTGACTCCATCACTATACTTCACTACAGTTATCATCTACAACTAGGGTTTACCCACTCAGGCTGGAGAAGTCCCTTTCGTATTTTTAAGAGAAACAATGTTATTTTATGTCCATATAAAATACTTCTTTGATTTTGCTATGGGATCTCATTATTTTTATGTCATTTTCTTGCCTGGTTAGGTGTCTGGCAGATGTGTCACATAGTCCCAAACATGTAAAATGGGTCATTCATCCTAGACAAAGGTAAAAAAAAGCTGCCTCCTAAGCAGGCACTACCTTGAAATTAATATAAAACTTGGAACAATTTATTTTCAACCAACAGTACTTCTGGAATGTTCAATGTTATAACCACAATATAGATGCACTATTAATTATTCTTTTCTTCCCAAGCTTACTCACTGCTTTTCACAGCAAGTAGATTCTGTGCTCCAGAGTAAACAACCCAAAGTGTAGACAAGCAAAGTTTATACCCTAAGAAGTTTATACCCTAAAAAATTTTCTTTGCTTTTAATGGTATGCTTGCTGATGGCGTAAAACATTGGAAAGAGAGGAAAACACAGGAAGCTTCATTATCACCTTTTTCAGCTCCAACCCAAATCCACTGACCTGGATTGCTTAAGGAAGACAGAAGATCAGTTCAAAGAATAAGAATAGGGCAGAGAAATAGTTTAATAGTAGTCAAGGGAGATCTTAGCAAAAATATTTGAAAATTAAGAAAAACAATAAAAAAAACAACCTACTGCAGTGTGAAAGACTACAAAAACAACAAAGGGGGAGAAAAAGGACCAAAATCCTGAGATATTAAGAAGAAAGCAACTAAGAAATCAGAAAGAGAACTTTCGCCATCAGTATGATAACAGTCAAACACAAGGAAAAGTGTGAACTGGAGGAAAGGATAAGGGATCAAATGTTGGCCCGGGCTGGGAAGAAGCACAGCTCAACTTCCATTCTAGACACAGCGGCCTCACAAACTGCCTGCTCTAAACGTGCTGATCAAGCCTCGTGGCAGACTTATAAATCTGCCGCAGCAAAGCACAAAGCCTGGTGCAATTCCCGCTCCACCTCCCAGCCCCGAGGAAAAAGTGACCCGAACGACGGGCGGAAGGGGCGGCTGCGGGCGGGGGCAGAAGCGAGCGCCCGGCAGAGCGCATGCGCAGGAAGGCACGGGTGCCAGGGCCCTTCTGCACGGAACATCGGGTTCCGTGGGTTCATAGGCACGAAATAGAGATTTCTCACCCTCACTTGCCTCTTTCTTCCTTGGTGCTGCCGCAGCCCTTTGCCGCTACTTTTACTATTTTCTGCCGCGTCCCCAGAGGGTTCATTTCAACTCCGTGGTACAGTCCCCCGTGCTCTACCCAATAACAAGCCGAGTCCCGATGACGTAATTAGTTGCCGGGCGGAATTTCGCTCCGTTCCTCCCATAGCGCCGCGGCTCCACCGGGAGGGGCGGGGTCGGGTTTGAACGACGGCGCGCCTGGTGGGCGGGAAAAGTCAAAGAGAACCAATAACAACTGCGAGAGGCGTTGACGAGCAGAGCCCGCAGCCAACCGGGATGGCGGGCGTCGCTCGTTGCCATGGGTGCCGCGGTTGCCAGGGCGGCGTTCAGCGCCGCGGCGGGCTCGGCCGCCCTCCCGTCCGGCCCGCCGCCTGCCCGGGGCCATGGGTGAAGCTCGCTGCAAGTGCCTGCTGGCAGGTGAGTCTGGCCCGCCCGGTCCCGTCCGCCTGCTGGCGCAGGGCCCAGAGCGGGCGCCATGGGGTTGCGGCGAGGCCGGCAGCCGATCCGGCCTGGCTTCCCGCAGCCCCTCGTGGAGGGGCCGCCCCGACGGAGAAGAGGTGGGGAGAGGAGTGAGGACCTCGGTTCCCTCGGGACGGCAGCGGTGGAAATCCCGTTTATCGTTGCCAGCCCGGTGTCCGCTCCCTCCTGCGACACGCGGGGAGTCAAGAGCTGTGCCCAGGGAGGGTGTGAGGCGTAGTGGGACCGGCTGAAATGCAAGGAAAGGGTCTGAAAAAAAAAAAAAAAGGGGGGGGAGAAACCTCACCAAAAAGAGTATTTTTGCAGTGTGGAAAGGAAAGTGGAAAAGTGGGGAAAGTGTGAAGGGAGCAGAGTAGACAGCTGAGTCCTGCCTCATTCCGGAGTCCTGCTTTGGGCTGATGTGAAAAATTCATGTCAGAAATCGGGGTGATTCTGAGTGTGATAGAAAGGTAAAGCCTAAGTAAAGAATAGAAGGATGAAGCACGTGCACTTCACAGACATGTCTTTTTCCCCAAGCAAGTTGGAGGTTAACCTGGGGGAAAAAAGTGAGGTGAAGATATCGATTTTTTTAGTCAGGATGTATTATAGAGCTGTTGAAAGTAAGTACAGATGATTGTTAACACCGCAGGAAGAAAACTTCTTCTTCCCTCCCTCTACACTGAAACTCTGTGCAGCCTCAGCCAGAAGCACAAATCCGTAAAACCTTTGTGTGCAGTCAACTCCCAGCTTTAACTCTTCACTCCAAATTCTTTCATACAGAGTAAAATGTTTACCTGTTTTAACCTTGGAAGCAGCTGGCCACGAACTCGCACAAAGTCATGTGTGGTCTTTGGCAAATGCAAAAGTTAATCTCCCTTGTGCCTCTGTTGCTGTGGACAGCATGAATATCTTGCATATCTTCTAGATTTGAAACTTACACATCATTTCCAATTTGGAAGTTTCCTGCTTCCAATACATAGGCTTTGTAAAGTCTTTCTAGTTTTGTTGTTTACTGTTGCCAAGGCCAATTCTACAACCATTTTTAAATCACATAGGTTTTCTTTGGGTGGCATGTTTATGTGCTTAATCCTGATTGGGTCTGGGGCTGCCTTTTCAATTCTATTTGCAACACAACAGGAAGATCCTGTCCTTTATGTAGTTTTCCTATGTGCTACAATAATATCCATGTATTATTAAAAATAATAAATTAATGAAGTAGACCAGCCAAAATCGCTTCTCTCTTGCAGAAGAGACCAATATAGTGAAAGAGACATAAGAGATTAGTAACCACAACAACCTAAAGTGAACAAGAAAATGCAATTACATAGGTAGGAGCAAAATGATCAGAAATGGAACAGGGAGCTTTTGTGTACCTAAGGAAATGGTTATGAAGAGTCAATGGCTCACAGAATTGGGAGCTGCAGCAAGGTCAAAGGGGAAAAGGGCTTTTATTAGCAAAACAGAGACTATTAACTTGACAGTAGAAGTGATCCCTGTGTTGTCTCAAGGGTAATTTACAGACTCACAGTAAGAGGTATTCTTGTCTGAGCTTGCTGTGGAGACACTACACAAAGGTTTTCATTGCAGAGACAGTTGGCAGTAGGAGGCATTTTGGACACACTACAGATTCTGGCAAAATAACAGAAACATGGGTAGAATATATGCTGTGGGATGCAGTACTGGCAGATGAGACCAAACTAATTGAAAAGGGCAAGGAAACTTATTTTGAGGAAGTGTAGTGATGTCGGGCTAAAGAAGATGGCAAAGAATAAGGAAAGAGAAAGAACAACTGGGGCTGTCAGATAGAAAAAAGGCAACGCATTAGTTAAGAATTTGTGCTGGATGATGCCTTTGAAGTTTGGAGCAGTGTGTACTTCTCTCATTTTACAAAGACCGATCTAATTGTCTATTGAAATACGGAATAGCTTCCACTCAGAACAGTGTTGTCTTCCGCACAAGCTTGAACTGATCAGAGAAAAAACAAGCTGACTTACCAGATTTTCCTGTCTAAATATTATGAGCCCAACTCAGCTCAAAGTAAGTAAGCTTGCTAAAAATGTTTAAACAAGAGCTACGTTTGGTTAATGCATCTAGGAGCAATTGTTACTATCCAAAACCTCCTTCCTCCTCTGTAATATTATGTGGGCAGATAAGTCTATCAATTTCCTTCAAAACACCATCTACGAAGCTGTAACAGGGTCAAAATATACCCCTTTCTGGGTTAATTTATTAACAACATAATGTAAAAGATTTGTGTTCCAGGCTTGGCTGTTATGAGTGTGCCTTTAAAGGGTAAAGCTTGAACCACTGAGGTATTTAATTCCTGGCTCCTGTCCTTTTAACTATCCAGCCTAGAAGGACATTATGTGAAGAGATTATAAACCCTTTGGAAGCATTAACTTAAGTCTTTGGTTTGCAAAGGTTATGATATTTTTCATGAAGTAATAGGGGCATATGTGAATTCTGCAGTTCTCTGCCATTGCTTTGGATCTTACAGAGTTTTGTAGCAGCAGCCAAAGCCAGCAGCTGCCAGGTTTGCCCTAAGTGTTGTGCAAGCCATATCAGAAAGCCTTGGCTCTAGAAGAGCAAAAACTAAAGCCCCTTGGTTTTCCTTCCATAAAGGGATGAATCAGCAGGCTCTTTCTCTCTGACATTTGCTTCTGTTATGCCCAGGATGCAACTAATGAGCCACCAGCAGCATTGAGTCAGCAAGAGCTGCTCTCTTAGCAGGATCAGCAAGAAGAGTTCATTGAGGAATGTTACCAGCTTAAGCAGCTTTGTCTCAGTATATAACAAGGATTTGAATCTGGGGAAATGGGTAACATAAGGAGAGGAAATAGCCTCCTATGCAGCCCACTGTCCCTTATCACATTGCTATTTTTTCTACATGGTAGCATATCTGGGAAATTTTAATTGTTAGATAAGGACTATAGCGTAGGCATGAATTTTTGAACAAGCAGCAGTTCCACCCTGATCTGGCAGTCCTTTGCTGTTGTTCATAGATCATAAATCTAATGTCAGCACCAGCATGCATAATGGCAATATTCATTTCCTCATGTCGGTATTACCTTTTAGATTGCTGTGTGCTTCATATGACAGTTATCTTGCCTGTAGTCAGTTAGAGCATCCAGGCTTTTAGGGCATGTGATAGTAAACAGAACTGAGGGAAAATAAGATTCTCTGGAATGAAACAAAAATCTATGGTTTTGGTTTTGCAGGAGATCCGGCTGTGGGGAAGAGTGCTTTAGCCCAGATGTTTCGCAGTGATGGGGCTCATTTTCAGAAGAACTACACACTGGTAAGCATACAACAGGCTCTGATTGCTGTCTAATATTTTTCTAAGTAGAATGAGGAAATTAGGAGACCTAGAGCAAAATCAGTATGATTTTTAGTCAAGGCATTCAGTGTAGAATCTTGTAGGGTTTTCTTTCTCTTACACCCTAGATTCTGAAGGGAAACCCTTTAATATTATGTAAGTCTACATTATGTGGGTGCTGGTGTTGAAACTTAATGCAGAGTAATTTAGTTGATTTTTCTGACGAACCAATGTTTTCACAAGCTTTTGTGGTGTTGGAGAGCTTCCCCCTTTAGGGAGTGCTCTATGAAAAAGCCTTGCTGAAGGAGAAGGCTTTTAATTCCAGCTATTAAATGTGCATGTGGACAGTGTGCTTATCACTATGCAAACACGAAGATGTGCTGCATAGCCCCAAGATAATTATAATCTACAGAAACTGTTCCCAGATGAAGAGGATACAGTTTGCAGTCTTTCAGTGTAAGAATCAATGGTGATGACTAATCAGAATCAGTATAAAAATAAAAGTAAATATAAGTAAAGTAAAAAAAGGAAAATATGAGTGTGGAGGAAAAAAGCCCTAAATTTTGTTTATTCATTGAAATAAAGATGGAAACCAGAAGTTAAGGATAGAAATAGAACAAACAAACAAGCTACAAAGCAGAATGAGATAAAAGGTGGAAGAAGCACAAATAACCTCAGTTCCATATGTTAGCTGATCACATGGTTGGTGCAAAACGTTCTCAGGCGTGTGTTACAGCAGCAATGTGAGAGTAGATGTAGCCCTGCAGATTTCAGCTAATACTCTTAACTGTATATAAGCAAATCTCTTTGGTTCTTCTCCTCCTTTTTCCCCCAGCTGAGCAAATCTACGAGTCTTTGACATGTTGGTGGGATTATGTTACCAGAGCTCTGAGGAGTATTGCTGAGTTCCCAGCAGTTTGTGTTTGATGGGATTGTAATAATTCACGAGAATTGCCTCAATCCAATGCATAGTTGGTATGCAGTTGGACAGGCTCTTAAAAACTCTTCTGATCCTCGTTTTCCTGATTCTTCTTGACAGACAACGGGCATAGATCTGTTGGTAAAGGCTGTTTCGGTTCCAGAGACAAGTGATAGTGTGGTGAGTTTTTCTGCGACATAAATTGGGTCAGAAAGAGACATCCAGAGCTCAAACCTCACGAGTCTCATTATGATGGAAGATCACTATGCATGTTCATATGGCAATTAGGTTGCATTAAGGAACTAAGCCTGACTGTGTACGATTGCTGATACTCCAGGGATGGTTCAGTCTTAAAAATATAAGTTTTACATACTCATATCCAACACAACATTGTAAATCAAAGTTGTTGCCAGCTTTGTTGAGATTCTGTTCTGTCCTTTAGGGCATTCAGGTTTAGTTCACATTTCTTGGAAACTAAAGAAGCTGAAACTTATCTGTTATTTTCCCTTAATGCCCTATACCCCCACTAATGGAATGTACCCACATGTATAATTTCATGTAAATAGTACAGGTTACTGTCCCACTCCACATATTTTGTTTCCAGTAGAGATGAAAACCAGACTTGGAGCCTTGGAGGTAAGCCATTGATTGGTTATACTTGAAATACAGCTTTTTTTTTTCTCACACTATCTAGAGTTTTCTCAGTGCAGGGAATTTGTCCCTTAGGGACATGACATTGCTGTACTGAACAAAACGTAGGAGTTACAAGTTGCAGTATTTACTTTCAAAATCTTTTCCCTACACTGCATTTTTCTTGGCAAGAGCCTTCTTTCTGTTTCCGCTTTCAGGAATTCTTCATTTTTGACTCTGCAGGAAAAGATCTATTTTCTGAGATGCTGGAGAAACTGGTAAGTCTTATGTAACAGTCCTCTTCTTCCAAAGAAGCGCTTTTGCTTTGAAGATCTGAACTCCTCAGTCTGGCAGATGTAGCAAACTTTGTCTTTAGTGTAAATGGGAGCAATTACCTCAGTTGCCAACACATCCTGTTCTACCTCTCTAAAACTTGTAGAAGTATTAGGAGAAATACTTTCCAGAGGAAGGAAAGTAGATAGGCAGTTTTCTTACAAAAGAAATACAGATTTGTTAACTGAGAATTTCTGTGTACTGTTGGTTAAAGTAATTTTTATTTCTTAGAAAAATACCTATTTTGCTGCTACTTCAATAGTGGGGGAGGGGGTTGTGTTACGGTGATGTGTTTGATCTAACAGGATTCATTCTTGTCCTTTGAGCATAATACTGTCCTTGGGTTTTTTCCTTCACATATCTGTGGCCTTAGCCACAGTTCTCTACTGTGTTATCTCATTTTGAGAGGTAGAATCAGTTGATGTGAGGTTTCATAAGATGGCTAAGTCAACCTAATGATTCACTGTTCTACCAGAGGCAATTCCACTTTTGCCCTTGCACTAGGTCTGGTTTGCAAGGGACTCCTTTAGAAGCTGGCTCAGCTTCTCAAACTGGAAGAAAACCTTTCTACTTTTTTCTCTAGGATTAATTTTGTGCTGATTCAGCATGAAGAGTCAGCTTCCCCAGTGATCAGATGAAAACCAGAGCAGATACAAGTAAAGGAGCAGGACTGTACAGACAAGAATAGGGAAAGAGAGCAAGACCACCTCTCCCAGTGCCAGTGATCCATTTAGTTGGGTCATTTGAAATGTGAAACCTCAGCCAGGGCATAGGATTCCTATATATTCGCCTTTTTATTTTCATCTTAGCAGCTGTTTGCTGTGTTTACAGCCAGGCTGTTGACAACATCAGTTTCATTAGAGCTGACAATGTTCCTTTCTTGCTGCGCAGTGGGAGCAACCCAACGTTCTGTGCCTTGTGTATGATGTCACTAATGAGCAGTCTTTCAACAACTGTCCCAAATGGCTGGAGAAGCTGAGGGCTCAAGCAGTTGGGGTGCACATCCCAGGTAAGAAATGGCCGTGATTCTTGTTGTGTACTCCCCTCTTGTATGACAGCAGTTTTTCCCACTGAGATGTGACACAGAGCGTTTATTTTAAGTCAGGGCTTCTTCCAACTCATTTGCTTTTATCACAAAGCATGTAAGGCATGAATATGTTTCCTTTTTTGAACCTTTTCTAGGTAGTTGTAGACTTTTCTCCACACCTCCAGCTTTTTCAGCTACTTCTACAAATGTTCCAGTCTTTATTACTAATAAGTCAGCATTGATGGGCTGGTTTTTTTCTTGTTTCATGTCTTTTTTTCTGCAGGTGTCTTAGTGGGGAATAAAACAGACCTAGCTGATCGCCGAGTTGTGGAGCAGAAAGAAGCACAGAAGTGGGCTGAGAAACATGGCCTGGAATACTGTGAGATGTCAGTGGTGAGTATCTGCTCCTTTCACTGCCTGTGGAAGTGGATGTTTGTAGTTATCTTCTCTTTCAGGTAAAAAAAGATAATCGGAGGTTCTCTTCCCCTTGTTTGTCATCTAACTCGGGTTTAATCCTTCTTTTGTGAAGCAGAACGTAAATAGTCAAGTGGTTATTCCATCTGTCATTCATAACTTTCTTATTTCTTTACAGAAGGAGATGAAAAATTTTGAGGCCCCTTTCCACATCCTGGCAAAGTTATTCCACCAACTCTACAAAGAGAAAGTGGAAACTTTTCACTCACTAGCATGACTGGTATGACTTATTTATCCTCTAAGCTTCTTCTGGTGCCTAGAATCCTGCTGGATGGAATACAGAGAGAAGAAAAAAGATGAGCTATTTGCTTCTTCATGGTCATCTTCTGGTAATTCAAAATAAACTAGAAATAAGCAAGTGGAAAGACACTCTTCTGAAATTGCTACCTCAGCATTCCTTTCATGTCCTCTAACTTAGTTCTCTGCTCACTGAAAATCTGCTAGGTTGGAGGAGGCGGGGAGTAAAACGGAAGGGCAGAATGGAAATTGCCAGCTCTTTGCTTTGATATCTTCTTGTCTGAACAGACTTCCTGCTGCTGCAAACAAGGATTTAGAGGTTTGGAAACAGAGAGAGGAAGCTGACAGGATTCTTTTCGACTTAAGCAACCCAGCCCTGATACATACATTGCAGGGCAGGACTGATTTGGCCCTACCTCTTGAAAAGCATTTTCTGGAGGAGGCCTGTGCCCTAAAATCAGCACCTGGAGACCGAGATGTGTGGGGACTGAGCTGGATTTAGGTGTGTTTCTAGGAGTGCCCACAGTTTGAGGCCTGTTTTAACAGTGTTGCCCTTAGCAGTTGTAGGAGTGATATCCTGGTGACTAATACGTGTTTCTGATTTCTAGAATGTTTCTTTCCTTCGACATGGCTCACTGTCACTGCCTGGTGGGAACTGTCTCGCGTCCGTACCGCTGTCACTTGGTGACGCAGTGCCCTCTGCTGGTCCCAGGTCACAGGAGTTCTACAGAGGCTGCCACCTCCCTTGAAGTGAGCGGGAAGGACTTCCTGCAGGCACATCCAAATTTGTTAATCTGCAAAATGGGGTCAAATTGCAAGAATACCTCTTCTATTCTAAAGACGAGTCCAAAATGTAGAACAAATTACCTTTTCTTCGTTATGTCTTTGTCATCTTATGTATTTTTGTATCATTTTTGTCAGCTGAACTTGGCAATACCATTCTGATTAAGTTCAGTTCTCAATCTCAAAGTCAGAGTCCTGTTTCTCACTAAACTCTCTCTGCTTGTCATTGACTTTAGGATTAAAGACCACAGTTCTGGTGTTGCTAGTGGAAACGGGACTAGGGAAATGAAAGACAGCCTGGATAAGTTACTCTGACTCAGCCATGTCTGGGTAGAAGTTTCATATTAGAAAAGGTGGAAGCCTAGAGAGAGCTGCTCTTTTGTGTGGAGCACTGACGTTGCATGTGTAAGGCTCGTTGCTAATGCAGAATGCAAAAGCATCCGTGGTAAGGTCCTGGCTTGTAACTGAGCCTAACACCAAGAGTTTCAAAAATTTAACTATTCCCTTCTCCCAGATTATGGTAGATTCCCTTGAGCAAGAGAAGCTGAATTTTGTAGAGAGTAAGCACTGAGTGATTTTTCAGGCAGGCTTTTCAGGAATCTGTGTTTCAAAACTTCTATACTTATGGTTTATAATCATTTTTATGCTCAGTGCTAGGAAAAGTACATTGAATTGAACGTAAGAAATATGGCTGCAGATGTTGTAGCAGAGTTTATGAAGCACTTCAAGAATCTGGAGAAGCAGCTGGGCTCATTTCACTGACAACAGTGTGTTGATGCTGGGAATTAACTAGGAAACATGAATACCAGCTAAAGAGGTTGAGTAGGAGCTCAACCTACACGAAACAAAAAAGAAGAGGTTCTTTTGCTAGAAGCCACCTCAAAAATTGCAGAACAGCTGGGAAGCTCTTGCTTTCTCCGAAGAAGGAAAGGGTCCTCCATGATCTTAGGGTAACCAGAAGACTCACTCATTTTTTAATTGGATTGGCATTACTGGCATATGTATCTTACATGGGTTGTCTTGTTAATCCTGGGGGGTTGTCTGTTGGTTTACATAGGCTGAGTAGACTCTTGCCTGCAGGTGCTGGTACTTCTGACTATTGAGGATAAAAGTTATTTTGAATGCTGTGCTGATCTAGTTAAAGAACTAAAGAAGTTTTGTTTTGATTTGGTAGCTCATTTCCCCCTGGTTCTATTGATGATATGATTACAAAACAAGACACATGTTTCTTCATATTGAAAATAACATACCAGATGTGTATGCCACCTGTGACCTGGTGTACATAGGAGGTATGAATGCCTTGGGAATAGGTAATAAAATGAATCCTATGCAATCTTTAACCAGGGAGTCCATCTCTCTGCTCCAGAAGGACCTCCCATAACTTCAAATAAACACTTTAAACACACCAGTAAGATGAAGATTGGTGAATTCTGTTTTATTAAATGAATGCAAAAGCTGGAGGATCTCATTAAGGGAATGCTTGCAGTTGTGATTTGTGATTTATGGGGAAGCTGCTTTAGAGAGGTTAGTGAAGAAAAATGCATCCCATGCAGGGAAAGATATATTGCCTGAGAGAGAAAATGTATGATCCAATTAGCTAGCAGTAGGGATTCACCCACTGCCCCTTTCCCTCTTCCACAGGCCATAACTACAATTGGAAAAGAAGTGATGTCTAAAGCATGTTGTCCAACTTGCTTTTTACAGGACTATTTCAAGCACTAATGTAGAGACACAGTTTAATGTCCTTCAAAAGGGTGTGTTTGACAATAACCATCCGCCCCTTTTGATGCATTTTAAAAGCACAGTATATTGTCCTTCCTGTCTAATGTGCTATATAATACAAGCATGATGCAGGTGGTGCTTGTTGCTATTTTCCTAGCTTATTTGTGACCTTGATTGTAGAGGCCAGTAGTGAAGAGTAGGAAGAGAACACGAGAGCCAGACATGGGAAGGCTGCGGAAAATAGTTTTGTGTCTGTGTGAAGAAGTTCAGGGTGGTGAGTAGGTGAGCTGGGCGAGCAGGATGAGTAAGAGTCTGAAGCCATTATTAAGTTTCTCTTACTGTATTTACAAACTCTTGTGGTCACATCTATAGGGTGAGAATGTGTGTTTGCTGCCTACAGCCTTAGCGTCAGTCAGAATTACGAGTGCTGTGGAGAACAGTGGGAGGAAGACGGAAAGCCTGTCTGCTGACCAGGAAGCTTGTTGTCTTCTTACAGCTCCCCTGCTTTGTCCAGCTGTGCAGTGCTGCAGGTGCTCAGCATGAGCGTTACAGCACAGAAAAGACCCAACTCAACCAGAACTGAAACTTCAAAAGAAGGAGGAGGAAACAAACAGACCTTTAGCTGTTTTTAATAGATATGTAGTCTTTTTTCCTTCTTGCTTATTTGATTAGGCAAAACCATTTCTTTCTTCCTTGGAGCCTCTCATTCTTACCTTTCCTTTGGTCCTCATGGTTTTGCTCAGAATCCCTGTTATACTTGTGCCCTGCTTCACTTAGCTTGATACATTACCAGATGATTTTTTTTTTTATCCTTCTAATTTCTGCATTATCTATTCCCGAGGCTGCAAGACATTTCTTCTTAGAGAGATTAATAGAAGAAAGAAAACAAAAGTGGAATTTTTAGTCAAATTGTCTTGGAAGAAAGAACCTTAAGAAGCTGTCTGACATTCTGAAATTTTACTGGAAATTCATTTGTGTAAAGTTGTCATATTAAAGATGCTTTAATGGGTTTGTTTTGTCTTGCCAGACTACTGTGCAGTGAAATGCAGGATGTAAAATTCCAGAAAGATCAGGTTTTATTGTGGGAGTAATAGGAGTTTCAAAGCTGATCCTACTGTGATAAGATCTGTTCATTGTTAACAATGGAGTGGTCACTGCTGTTCATAATAAAGCATTAAATATACTGAAATGGGGCTGTCAAAACAGTTTCTTTTAGAGATTTGTTCATTTTAGAGACTTAAAACTTAAGAAAGGACATCTTTTAGAAGACTGATCTGATAAATGACACCATTTGGACCAGGGTTATTTCTGATATAACTTCAGTGACTTAAAGGGCTGGATTTAGTCTTTTATGCCAATTGACTCCCCTGGGTAAGCTTCATTTCTTTACCCACTATACATCTTGGATCAATCTGACCTGATAGCAAAAGACACATGATGTTGTTGAAAATGAAATACTGCCTTGGGGCAGAAGGATAAACTGTGTGGCCTCCTGAGGTCCTCCCAGAAATACTTTCTATAATTCTATTAGATTAAATGGGGAAAGAAGTAGCATGGAAAGCACAAAACAGGCTAAGTCATAAACTAGCAATTAAATTGGGAGCTGGGCTGGGCTGCAGCAGAAAACGTACAATCTATCCCAATTAAGAGCTGTATCTCAAGAGAAACTAGGAGCCTGACGCAGGTGCTGACAGCAGGGAAAACACTGCATTTCTGTTCTGGAGGCAGCAACTGCTTTCTACTGGTGCTTACACAGATCTGTGGGGGTCCTTACCCCGCTCAAGGCTGTGCTCTGCTTTTAATAATTACTGTATCTATGATGTTCAGGTGGCAACTGCTTGTAGTCGTGGTCTCATCTGCCTGTGCAAAGCCAGCAGTGTGATGGCAGGTTATCTGCTAGTAGCAGGAAGACATTCCTATTATTGACACCTGCATGATGGGACCCTTCTGTCCCCATGCATTCTCAGTCCTTTCCCATCTCGTTCCTGCTCCTTGATGGAGAATATCCGCCTCTGTTTGTTCTTAGCAAGTAATTTTTCCATCTTGCAGATGGTACTCCTTGGAAGCTGGGGCCGAGGGACCTCTAGGACCTTCTGCAGTGGAGATGGAGTCTGAGCAGGAGCTCTTCAGGGGCCATGTTAGCCCCTGCAACATCTCTCTTGGCCTAAGGGCACATCATCTCTCTGCTTCTTGTGTCCTATTTCCTTCTCCTGCTGTCATCTTGCCTTGAGAACAATGTCTTCTGTGCCAGTTGCCCTTGGCTCTGTTGACCCGGAACAACAACGCTTGGGGGAGGGAGAAAGAAGAGAGCTACTCAGTCTCCAGGCTTTTCAGGGCTCTTTAGCTGTTGTGACTCCCTGTCGAAGTCACCTGAGAGATGGGGATGTTGCTCAGACTAGAGTGTAATTTCCTGGCAGGAGACCACCAGCTGAGTCCTGGCAGCCTCGGCTTGGCTCTTCAGAGCTTACTGCAGTGTAACTTTCCCAGACACTGGCGGTTCTCATTCTGAATTGGGAGTTTTGGTGGGGGTTTTGGATGGTTGGTTGTTTTTTTTTACTGCTTGGGGGTCTTCCTCTCGTTCTTCTGCCATGACTTCACATATTTCCTCCCCTAGAACTGTTTGTCAAGAGAAGCCTGG